TCAAAACCTAAATAGGACTGCAAAATTGGATTTCATTATTGCATCTGTTGTCTCTAGAACACAAGGCAAAATATGGAAAAAACATTCTGTCTAATGCATTTTATTGCTTCTCTCCCTAAGCTCTTAATGTAATGATCATTCTGCAGAAATCATAACAATTATAAAGCCATTCATCATTTAAAGTCCAAAAAGGCAGTAACACAGCATACAAATAAAGAAAACATTGCACTTATATAACCCTGCACTGCACTGAGGTGTTAGCAGCAAAGGCTTTTATCTCACATTTTGTCATATACAATTTTAAGACAAACACTATATACCAGGAAACGTGTGTTTGGTTGTAGAAAAGCAGAGAGGAGGGGAGTGGACAGTGATAAATGCAGAAAATCTTCATGTCCGAAGTGATAGATAGAGGGAACTGATAGCTTTTAGTTCACTGAGAGCTGGGTGGGAAACGTTAAAGTCAGTTGGTTTCCACCAAAATGCACCTTGCATAGGATTAAACGGTAATGCATGCAAATTGCATCTGAAACTCAAAGCATTGGATGGCAATGGATGAAAACTAAAAACAGAAATATGTAAATGCAGCCATACACCTAGAGCTTATGAAAAAGTAATTTGTTTGTTTTAAAGTTTCAGATAAAGTATGTTTAAGATAGACCCCTTCCCAAGTCTTCATTGCCATCTGTGTAGCTGTAGGGAGATTCACCCCATCTACACTGGTGGTCATCGTCATCGAGGCAAAATGAAAAAGAACCCTTCCCTAGTCTATTTATTATTGAAAAAAGGTTTTGATTCCCCCACATTAAAAGAAAGGCTTACATTTGACTATATTTGGTTTGCGCAAGGCTCCTTGAGTGTTTCAAAGCACAACTAGAACAACATTCTGAAAATTAAATAAAAGTTGAACTATTTGATAAATGAAAACAGTGCTGCTTTGAAAGAAATTAAACCAATGTATGCAACTCCAAAGCCTCATCAGAACTAAGGCATGATGGGGAAAAAGCTACAGTTTAACACTGCATTGCTGCCGCAGAGCCTGGGCATCTAGCAACAATTAAGCATACAACAAATTCAAAGTGGGGACTAAACATACTACATAGGAAACCCAGAAGGTCTTTTTGTGATCTTAAACTCAAAAGAGTGTGTTATGCAACAGTACTATGATCAAAAACACAGCAGTAAAACACCACAATGAGCCTGATAAACTGTATATGGAGCAGTTTAAGTATATTTGTGTGGGCACATTGCTTGAAATAAACACCCTTGTATTGATAGGTGTTGGATTGAAGTATACTGTGCATACTTGCACATTAATTCAAGAACTCACCCACCACTATAAGTTTACTTCAGTGCAACACTGATCAAGTTTTTACATTTTTTTTTTATTTTATTTTACAGTTAGGGGCATTGGGTAAATATCAGGGGTCTAAATAGACCCTGGATATTTCCCTTTTGAAATAGAAAAGAGATTAAGGACACACAGTCCCAAAAAACTCTTTCTGCAGCCCCTTGTATGAATGAACAGGAAGCCTCTATACTGAGCTGCCGCTGTCCATTCATAAACTGAGGAGAAATATGATTTACTATGTCCACAATCATGGATGAACAGGAAGTGACATAGAGCACTTCCTATTCATTCATCATTGGGTACACAGTAACTAAATATCGGTGTAAACAAACATCGGTGTAAACAAAACTGATTACACCAATATTTGAGTAGTACATGGAAGGATCTGCAAATATTTCACATATTTGCTGATCCTCTCCACTCCCCATCCTGAACCGTTCCGCCACTCGCACAGCTCTCCTACCCACCGACACTGCCAGTCCCGGCAGCTTCTCTCCTCCCCACTGGGTGCCAGCAACTGGATCGACTGTGTCCCTGTGACACAGACTGGGGGAGAGCAGCAGGGACCTGAGGGGACAGAGACCGAAGCTTGCAGCCGATGCCCACCGGGGAGGAGAGAAGTTAGGGGATGCACCATTTTCTTTTTTATCTGCATTTATCCCATAACACCATTTTGGTCCGAAATGTTTTGGTGGCTGAAATTTCGGTGCATCCCTAGTCCTAACAAAAGAATGCAATGTTAATGTATGTATGTTAATAAGAGGAAACTCAGTCTGTCCCCTCAGTGGGACCCTCTACTTTCAAACTGCTCAGAGTAGCTTGGAATCTGCAAAAAAAGCCTTCACTAAAGAAACATCTAAAAAGGTAAGACATATTTTAAAATAAAATATTTTCAGGTATGCGGTGTGAATGAGAACACAACACATGACAAATATATGGTGGGGTTGTCTCAAATTTGAAATATACTCTAGCTACTATAAAACCATTGTTCATCTTAAGGTTATCTGGGGATAAAATGTCAATGTCAAAATGCTTCTCAGGATCAGTAAAACCAAACTGATGGAGAAATTAAGTGTGCTATTTCAAAAAAAACTGGAAACCTTTTAAAAAAAATTAAAATATAATACTCATTTTAGTTTATGTTAGAAGGTGATTTACAGTTGGATCTATTATGTCATTTTCCTGTTAATCAGTTTTGTTTAACGGTAACATATGGTGTAATTTTGATGAGTATATTTTTAGTGGGGGTTTTTTTTTTTTTGCAGGTTTTACCTTAAAACAAAACTTCAGCATCAACATTTTTAAAGATTTGCCATTTCCTAAAGCACTGTTAAAAGCAAAAATGCAGCTTTCACTGCAATGCTCCTCTTCTCTTCAGTGCTGCCCTCATAAAATTCTCACTGTCACCCCATGTCACTCAACCAGTCCTCAGCAACCAGGCATCCATGGCCTTGCTCACTGTAATTATCTGGGATGCAGAAGATGCAGTTATTCTACTTTCAGCTTCTGGCTTACAGGCCACCTCTAAAAGGGAGATTAAGAGGATTTTGGAAGCCAAGTGAAGAAGATTCAGTGAGGCCCAGTTGACACCTGAGCAATCTGAGCTTGCATGGCAATCCGTGTGATTTCGTGGGCAAATCGCCGGGAGAGTGCTGGAACGCACAATGGCGGGTGCTGTGCCATTCATTTCTAATGGCACCCCAATTGCGGCTAGCAATCCACACAGTTTTGGTCCACGTTTCGCTACTCTCACTATTCCACTGTAACTATGGAGAAAGCCATGGATGCCACACAAGCTTGACTTTAAATATGCCTGTCCTTGTTCACCCCATTACATGGTAGATTAGTAGTTTTTAAAAAATATGACCACAGTTCTGTACTTCCAGTTCTGCTCGCAGTAAGTGACAAGGACTCTGCATTTCTTACAAGATCAACGGCTAATTTATGTCCTTGCTGAAAATGTTCTTAAACCAAACAAAAACGAATGCAACCACCACATCTAAGGACTGGTAACATGGAAAACTGAAATATAATATTTAGAGCTGCAGCTAACGATTATTTTCAAAATCGATTATGTCGATTAGTTGTTGCAGCCCTAATAATATTTGGATTTTTGACTTATCATTAAATATTTTCTTGGAGTACAATAAGGGACACCGGATGAGTAATTCAAGTACATATGGTTATGCTGCTGCCTTTAGAAGATTGGATAATAGCAAACAAAGCTGTAGGGACATTCCGTCTAAGATAAACTGTAGCAGAGATAGACTTGTACAGTGCATACTACATCCAAACAGTGAAAGTAAATCTCCCTGGTATTTCTGTTAACATGGATCACTTGTGCATCCACAGTGGGCACTGACCACTGGTTTACAACCTTCTTCCCAAAGAGGATATGCTCCGCCACAGCCTCGTGAGGTCCAGGACCATACAGGGTGCTTCCAGCCTGCATAAAGGAATGACTCAAATAGCAAGTAAAGCAGAAAGATCTTTCTAGCTGCAGAAGCCCTAAAAGACCCAAGACCTGGAACAGCAGGCTGATCCTTCAGACATCAATCAGGTTAGGAAAAAAAAAAACAGTATAACTGAGTCAACTGCAGTGACCCAAAAAAGCCCCCTCTAAAAAAAAGGCTGATGGGACTCTGAATAAAAATGCTAACAGCAGCTGCAGGCCCCATCTGATTTATGGGCTCAAGAGGATCTGAAATAAAAGCCCATGATGGGACCAGAGTGCGCTTAGAGCCTCTACGGGCAGAATGCTCTAGTGCTTAGGCACAAATAGATAGAACCTCCAGAGGAGACCTGGAGGCTTTGGCCCTGCCCAATGGAGCTGCAGGAGACTCAGATGATGGTAAACTATAACAATAGGGGTCCAAGGTTTCCAGATATCAGGCATTGGCTGCTTCGGGGATATTGGGTAAACACCCCAGAACCACTCAGAGTAGAGACAGCCAGAGGTCACCACTCATTGTAGGCAACAGTGGAACAAGACCAGTGATCCATAAGGGGGTTAAAAAGCAGAGCAGCAACTGGATGGTGCTTCCTCAAGGGTGAATCATGGGGAGAAAAAAAAAAGCACCCAACTTTGCAAACAGTAGCTCCCTGTGGTTCAGCTGGACCGATTTTACTCAGAGACAGGGTTACACCTGGCACTGTGTTACAGCTCTGGATGCAGAAAGCACTCTGCAGATGTTTGTGTACTGTTAGTTATCTACGAAGCTAAGAAGCCCAGTGCCCAAAGGTAACATTCCAGGTTAGCACCATGCATCCAGTCCAGCAGAGCTTTGGTCTGCAATACTAATAGTGAGGAAATGTAAAAGGTGCTATATTGGGTGCAGCTGAAACAGGTATGTAAAATTCTTAAAAACAGACTTTTGTTTCAGCATAACTGGTTAAAATGTATCCAATCTCTTAGGACACCAGCAAAAAAAATAAAAAAATTAGGCACCAGTAGGGGTGGGGGTGGGTATGCAGGGGCTCCTCCTTGACCCAGCAGTTTATCCCAATTGTTTCTGATTTCCTGTGCCCCAATGGACGATGGGTAAATTACATTTTTGTTCTTGGGATTAGTTATGCTTCAATAGTCACAGCAAAAGAAAACAACTTAATTATCCAATGTTATGCACAGCAGAGAACCATGTTTACATACCTTCACAACAGGATTTAACAGAACTACTCCAGATTTTTTAGTTATAACTTGCTTTGTTGTGTAATGGTGTTCTATAAGCTGTGGAATGGTTGGAAATCCAGTGCCTTCAAACCTATACTGATTCTGTTCAAATGAATGGGGGTGGGATTGAAAGAAAAAACAAACATGTTACAGTCCTGAGGAAAGGCAGTTAAAGGCTAAACATTTTCAAGACAATCATATTTCCTTTTGTAAAAAGCATGATGTAGTGGCTTATAAGGAAGTAGTGCTATTTCAGGTGGAACAGACATGTAGTCTGCCTCACATCTTTAACATACTGATCAAAAACTACACTACTGGCCTAGAAGAAGTTTGTATCAAGTTTTCCAGAGTAATACGGAGAGAACTGAGGGTTTTTAAGCTATTAAGAGCGCTCTTGCTCAATGTGACACCAAAGGAAAAAGATATGAGCTCAGTAAGAAAAGCATTTTACCGTTTGCAAATACTTGTTTGGCCTCCTCTTTCCCTAATCATAGGAAACCTGTACTTTAGTGTACAGTCACTAGGCCGTAGTAATTAAAGAGAAGGCATGTTTGCACATGTAATAAACGCATGGATGACCCCAGTTTAAAAATATTTTTTAACTACAGAAACAAAAGTATTGTGCTGCGATACATTTTCCAACAGATGCTAACAGAAGGGCACCGAAAAATGAATGACTAAGAATGGGGCTAGTTCACATCGGATCTGTTGTGTTAAGTTGCACTGATTAAAATAGTGCATATTCTAATTTATGTCAGCGTAACGTAACGGAGCAGTGTGAACAGCCCCATTCACACCCATTCATTTTTCACTGCCCTTCTGTTAGCATCCGTTGAAAAATGTTAGCAGATTGCAATGTAACGGATCCAGAGTGAATGGCCCCTTTAAAATTACATTCACATTAAACAAATTCTGTAAAAAGATGAATCTGCATTAGTACAAAACAATACAAGGAGTATGGGAAAATATAAATGATGGAACTACATAAATAATTGTAAACTGGTGACTATTTTTATGTTTGCTTGCATGCATCTGCTCCGTGTAATAAAGTATTTCTAAGTGCCTAGAGTACATGAAAAGTGTAATAGAACAAGGGGCCAAAAGTATCGCATTGAGAGAAAAGGTTTCAGTACAAAAGCCTCTTCAGGAGTATGTGAAAGCAACAACTAAAAATAAAGAGGCCTAATATAGAAAATTCACAAAACTTAACATCTAAAAGTTCAACAACTGGAAAACTTTCTTTTTATTGTAGTGCTCCCCAACTCCTGTGTCAAGTACCACAACTAGGCTATACATTCCAGCTTTTAGGCAGTCAATCATTATGTATGAGACAGTGAACAGAGATCAGGAAAGATGGCCTTCAATTAACCTCTGAGGAGTAGTTTGTTAAAAATCAATTTCAGTGTCAATACAAATTCACGTCACCCTTGAATGTGAAAAGTCAAAACAAAGTGCGAGTGTTTTTGTGGCAAAAAAACTACTTCTAATTGGTCATATTAGCTAGTAAATGAGGTCACAAATTGGGCAAATAAGGGGAGCAGAAATTACCCACCAACAACATATATGTACTTAAACAATGAAAGAACATCTTTTGATTATTGCATCTGTATACATATACATGAATGAATCATATGCATAACTTCCAATCATGTGATTACTATGTCAGCTCCGAAATCATACTTTATTTTTATTTACTTATTTGCACAGCATGTATTGGCCAATAAAGGGCAATGAGTAGTCAGGAGAACACTTGAGATATTAAGCAAGGAAGGTAATGAAATCGGTAAAACTGAAACCAAAAATGCTAAACAACAGACGCTTTAATACTTTGTCTGTGATGTGTATATCCAACTTCCCAGAGCGAGGCCCCATGAGGACGATACATCCAAATCGGAGTGGTTTCCAATCAGTGTGATCACTATGTCAGCTCTGAAATCATACTCTCATTCAGGTTGGAGTCCTTATAAAAAGTTTCACTTTGTCATAGTAATTAATCAAAGCCATATTTTAAATATGAACAGTGGTAACCTGCTAAATTTAGCCTGGGCATCGATGACCTCTGGTCAAGAAAGGGTTAATGTAACATGAGTAGTACAGAGTAAAATAATGATTTCTGACTTGTGCCTAAAACAAAATAACCCTTTTTCATCAACAGAGGCTTTGTAAATATTTTACTTAACACAAGAATTATTTAAAAACATAACGTATTAGGCCCCGTTCACACCCGGGTGTTACGCCACACGTTTTTTTTCATGCTGAAACGCATGCAACATAAAATCCCGTGTATTCCTATGGGGGTCGTTCACACAAATGCGCTAAATCGTGCGAAAAAAAATGCCTGATGATTCAAATAGTCTGAGCTTCATTTGTGGCACTTAGACTTCAATGTAAACGCACCGATCAGCATAGTTTTGCTTTTTTTTTAGCTCGTTTTATATTGTCTGTTTAGGTGAGACTGCTTTTCATTTAGGAATGCAGCTAACTATTTTCATAATCGATTAGTTAGCCAATTATTAATTTCGACTCATCGGATAAAAAAAAATTATAATACCGTCATTTATTTCAAATAAAATACACAAATGCAGCGTTACAGACAAAGTTTACTTCAGAATAAAATGGTATGCACATTTTTGTAAATTGCACGGCACTGGAACACAGGGCATTGCTGCATCAGACGTTCCAGTGCGGGCGATCACACTTCGGACGGGAGGTGCATTTGTGATCCATTAAAATGAATGGCACCGCAACCAGGCCCGGAATTCCCACAAGGCCACCGAGGTCCGGCCTCGGGGCGGCAGAGCACAGAGGGGCGGCAGCGGTGACCTTGTGGGGAAGTTGCGGGCGCCGTTGTAAGGTGTCCCGGCGGAGGCCGCTGTCCAATCACGACGGGGCGAGCCAAAGGCTCCGTCCACCGGCTCCATAGTGTGCGGCCACCGGCCAATCATGTCGTGGCGGGCCGCAACTCCTCCCCCCAGCAACTCCTCCTCCCCCTTCATCCACATGGGCACGGAGCCCTGTACAAGCGCAGAAAGCCCTTGTTTATGAGTCAATGTTGTTCTGTGCAGCTGCTATCGGCAGTCTGTTACAAATCAATGACAGGTTGACACGCGGAATGGCTGCACCGATTTTATGTATAGGGATCCATACAACTGCTATGTATGTCATTGATTTTTAACAAGATGCTGGAAGTGGCTGCACAGAACACCTGTGACTACCAGGCACCTCAACAAGAGCCTAATGAATGGTGTACAGGGCTCTGAGCGTGTGTCGATAAGCCCTAAAAGACAAATAGATGCTTAAACAAACCTATGTATATATGTGAGCAAGATGGTCTTGGTTGTGGTAGTAGGGGTGTCATTTCTAAATAGGGCAACTTTAAAAGACAGATTTTTTTTCATATAATATAATAAAGTATTCACAGACGTACATCAGCAAACTGAATGATAAAATGCCGCCTCTGTGAATCTGAAAACACAGAAAGGACATATTCACCGGGTTTCCCATGGCTCTCCCGCACCAAGAAGTCTCCCTGTTGCTTTAGCAGCTCTTGTGCTTCAATTCTAGGAATTGCACCATGATACCAATCCTGTTCAGATAAAGGCTTTTCGCAGGTTGAGATGACATCAAATACCTACAAAGAAAGATTTTGGTGACATTAAATTTACTTTAAATTACTTGTGTAATGTGTTACTTTACAAACTTCGCAGAAATGTACCATTTTTTTCTATAAGGTTCAATCACTGCCTAATGCTTTCTAAGTATAAGCCAACATATCGGCAGGAGACCAACACATTCAAAAAGTTACTAGTTGGGTGCAAAACATCAACACTTACTAAATGTATTTATTTATTTTCTATGTTTTAGCATTATGTCAAATAAATAGCAATGTTTTGGTGCCTGTGCAGGGTCCCTTCACTTAACTCTCCCCTATTCTGTCCAAAACTAAAAAAAAACTTTTGACTATAGTTACATTTTAGGTTTAAAATGTGTGAAGTCAGGTCAAGCATAGCAATTCAGTGCAAATAGGTGGCTTTAAAATGGGCATATTTCACAAAAACGTGAAAAAAAAGTGTAAAATAATTTTAAAATACCTGGCATAGTTTGTATAACTTTAAGAGGAGTTTACAGCCGTTAAGAAAACTTGATAAAACAACCAAAAAGGCAACAAAAGCAAAATTGCAATTTTAGAGTGTTTGTATTGAAAGAAAAAACTTTGCTTTCAAACCACCTGAGCAGAATGGAGTGTTTAAATAAAAATCTGCAGTGTCTTCATCTTTTTAGATGCTATGAAATAACAAGCTTTATGCTTTCTTCCCCAGGATAATGAAATAAGGATCTGAATGGTCACTATTGCTTTATTTTTTTTAAGTAAAGGTGCACTGAAATGGAAATGTTAAAACCGAAATTTAAAAAATTGTCAGGCCGAAATCGAAAATGTTTTTTATTTTTTCGAATTTGTTTAAAATTTAATTATTATTTTTTTTATAACTTTCACATTTTTTTATATTTTTGTATTTATTAATTTATTTTTTAGTAAATATTTTTATTTTTTACTTTACTTTTAGGGGCTTTGGGGAAATATTAGGGGTCTAAACAGACCCTTGATATTTCCCTTTTAAAATAGAAAAAGAGTCCTCAATCTCTTTTTCTGTATCCCCTGTTATCAATGAACAGGAATCCTCTATGAGTGTTCCTGTTCATTGATAACATGAGGATGTGTTTGTACCCGCTCTCCTTTCTGACAGCTGTCACATAAGGCTGAGCGAGCAGTGCAGGGAGGAGAGATCAGCCTCCTGTGACACAGCGGGCTGTCTTCGCCCCCACACCGCTCTGCCGGACGGTGATAGGAGGCTGAGCGGTGTGAAAGGAGAGACGCCGGCCGCTCACAGGGCTCTCCTCACGCAGCGCTCGGCCCCCTGTCACAGTTTCTCTCCTCCCCGCTGGGACACAGAGCAGCGCCCAGCGGGGAGGAAAGAAAGCAGGGATGCGCCGCTGTATCAGCAGGAACATGGCACTTTCGGCATTATGCCAAAAGTGCCATTTTCAGCCGATATGTTTAGGCGGCCGATATATTGATGCATCCCTCATTTTTTTTATTATTCCAGTTTTTGTATATAGACCTAATACATGGGAAGCCAAGTTAGTTCTTGTCCTCCCGAAAGCAGATACCACCCCCTAACTTTCTCTATGTGTCCTTACATAGTGGCTGCACACACAGTACTGCACAGGTAACAAAAATGTCCAGCAGTGCAAAGGATAAGTATCTGCTGGACCAAGCTAAGTGTAGGGCTGAAGTTATAGTTGAAAGTACACTAATCCTTTAAGTGACAAGCATGGCTCTTTTTCCAAGCAAAAGCTATTCCAACTTATTTTATTACAGTAAAATGAGCCTCTTCCCTTAATCTCAAATGAAACTAGGAAAACCCATATTTTCAACTGAAGGCTGTGTACATGAAGGCTTATTTGAAAGAATCATCTGCCTTCCCAAGCCCGTAGCTATTGCAAGCTGTTTATTACTCTGAAAGACAGTAACAGCTTATATCATGGTCATAACTTTTCTTATCACTTTTCGTCTCACTGTTTTACTTTTAATTGCCGACTTCATACTGTGCACCTCTCATTCACTGCAGCTGAAAAACAGCCACCGGGTTCTATTTTAACTACAAAAAGAGATGCTTTGCTTTTTGAACATTAAAAAGTACTGTGTAGAGAGGGTGGGAAAGGTAAATAAACAGAATAAAAACATATAAGCCTTCCTCTGAGCAATTTCTATTTCATCCAGGTCTATCTCATGCAGACACAAGATTTTTCTTTTAATTTGCATAATGTATGGTCAGTAGCATACAGATAAGTGAGGAATTAAATAACCAACTGCCAGGGGAAATATGTTAAATATTTAGCCCATGTACACTAACAAATCTGAGCTGTATATGAATGTAGTACAATGTAAATTGAAATGATACATTCTTACATTTTTACATTAAAATCTTAGTAGCTTGGTGTTCAATCTAAGCAGAAAGCAAATAAATAAAACCAGTTCTTTTATAACTTAGTGGGTCTATTCTAAAGGATATATACCACCTATGCCTCTGTGTGGCTGAGAAGGCTGTGAATATGCAATTAAACAAAACACCCCAATACATTTTAGCTGCCCTACTTTGTGATCACTTGGATTAATGGGCACTGTGCATCGTGACTGACGCTGGATTACATCGATGGAGCCATTTTATTTATTTGTTAATGAAAGGAAAATTAACTGGGGGTTTTTTTCAATTAACCCATTCATGACTGAAGCCTTTTAAAAAAAAAAAAATTTGCACCCATGTTATATTCCACATGTTAGGCCTGAAAAATTACTTAAAACCCCCAAACATTATATATTTTCTGAAAGCCAAGACCCTATAGAATAAAATGGTGGCAGTTGCAAATTTTTATGTTGCACGATATTAGTGCAACTCTTTATCAAACCCCAAAATTTACTGAAAAATGTACTTTAATGCCCCAAAACACAATAAAATACCCATTTTTTAAACAAAATATAAAATATGAGGTTACAACGAGTAAATAGATACCCAACATGCCCAGGTTAAAAATTGTGTGCGTCCGTGAAACGGTGACAAACTTCAGTATTCAAAAATGTCGATAGACCAGGATTTAAAAGCCCCCACAGGTCATCAATTTAGAGAAAAATACCCAAAAATACCGGCACTAGAATTATTGCTCTCACTTCGGCGTGCGCGTCAATACCCAACATGTGTAGTGCGTTTGTCGCTTTCATACGTAGACGCACCCGACGCGTGTTTACGTGGCGATGCGCATGCTCGCGGGGGCCTTTTTTTGGGGGGGAATTATTTTTAGATTTATTTTATGTAATATTAAAAACAATTCTTTTTAACTTTAATTGCTATCACATAGGGGGGCTTGCAAGCCCCCCATGTGATAGCAGATGGTGGTGACATGTACTCTTTAAGGTGATGCTGGGGGTCCAAAAGACCCCCAGTGTCACCTTTACACTCCAAATAAGCTATTGAAGTGCAGATCGCACTTCAATAGCTTATAGCTGGGCTTCAGGAGCCCAGCACTGACAGCTTTGGGGTCGGAAGTGATGCAATCTGCATCGCTCCCGGTCCCATAGAACGGGGAGGGGATCGACGAACGGAGCTTCATCCATCTCCTCCGCCGCTCCCCGCCGACACCAGAGAAGCTGGTCCCGGGCACCTAGGAGGGGCTACGGAGCCCGGAAAGCACTGCAGGGTGTGGGTGGGCCTTCACTGGGTCGGCTTTACAAGTTTAAACAGAGTCTGTTTAAACATCCCCAATGCTAGCAACATACACTGTACGTCGTTAGTCGTGAAGGGGTTAAAGGATTTTTTTTCTAAAAGTGCGGTTTGTTTATTTACATTGAATTTTAACACTTTAGTGATCGAGTAGGGGTACAAGTACCCCATACTCACAAGGGGGGGGGGCACCTGGGTTCCCGCTTAATTAAAGGGACACCCTCCCAATGTCGAGTGCACATGGCCGGATAAGGCACAGGGGAGGCGAGGGGCGCTCGATCGTCCGTCCGCCCCCCCTTTCCTGCCCTGCCTGTGCTCGGATCAAGGGTCTGGTAGGAATTTCAGGGGGGACACATTTGTTGGGTTCCCCCTTGAAATTCCTACCAGACCTAAAGGGTCTGGAATCAATTGGGGGGGGAACCACATGCTTTTCTTCTTTCTCTTCTGCAGACAGAAAAAAAAAAGTGGGGGGGGGGGTTCTCTTCAGAAATTCGGATTCATTTTCATTCGTCTTTTCTGTTACTCTGAGATTCAGATACATCCGAATCTCAGAATAAAGAAAATTTGACTAAACACATTTTTCCAAAACGAATCGCACATGTCTACTTGTTACTGCTGAACTCACCTCGTAGCCTTGGAACATCACTGTTTAGGATGGAATCAAATTTGGTTTCTCCAGGTTAATTAGCCCAGTAGAACTGCAGTAAAATGAAGTAAAACTGCAGTACAATGAAGTAAAACTGCAGTACAATGAAGTAAAACTGCAGTACAATGAAGTAAAACTGCAGTACAATGAAGTAAAACTGCAATAAACTTTAGAATAACTGCAGGTTTGCAATATATAAAGTATAAAGAGTACATTTAGGTTTAACAGCTGTAAAACTGCAGAACAAAAAAAGTACATTTGCGGTAAAACTGTTGGCTTGCAATGCAATGAAGTGTAGATATACAGGTGAAAATCGAATAATTAGAATATCGTGCAAAGTTCATTTATTTCACTAATGCAACTTAAAAGGTGAAACTAATATATGAGATAGACTCATTACATGCAAAGCAAGATAATTCAAGCCGTGATTTGTCATAATTGTGATGATTATGGCTTACAGCTCATGAAAACCCCAAATCCACAACCTCAAAAAAGTAGATTATTACATGCAATCAATAAAACAAGGATTGTACATAGAACAATATCGGACCTCTGAAAAGTACAAGCATGCATATGTACTCAGTACTTGGTTTGGGCCCCTTTTGCAGCACTTACTGCAATTACTTTTGCACGATATTCTAATTATTTGAGTTTCACCTGTAATATAGCTGCAGTTCACTAATACGCTACTGCACTTTGTGCTTCTGC